TCTCTCCGATCTCGGTCAGGTCTCCATCTTCGAGCTCCAAGATATTGATATCACTTTCCCAGAAGGACGCCTGACTGTGGTTACTGGGCCAACAGCTAGTGGCAAAACTGCCTTATTATTGGCCCAGTTGGGAGAAATGACGATGCTCAATGCTCCTGCAGGGTCTTCTACCGCTGAAGACCCCAGAGTTATATTACCCAAATACCCTTATGCGCCTCCGGATCAGTACGGCTACCGTGCTTGCGTCTCTTACGCTGCTCAGGCACCCTGGTTGGAACATTTGACCATTCGCGATAATATCCTCTTCGGTGAACCGTTTGACAGTGAAAGATACTGGACCGTGATTGAGAGTTGCGCTCTCAAAGCAGATTTGGAGATGCTAGAAGATGGAGACCTGACCGAGATCGGAGAGAGAGGTATCTCGTTGTCTGGAGGTCAAAAAGCTAGAGTGGCATTGGCAAGAGCAGTTTATGCTTATAGCAAAATTGTGTTACTCGATGACCCTTTGAGTGCGGTGGTATGAAGGATTAACTCTGGATTTGAGGTACAAAATGTGACATTTCGTCTAGGACAGTCATACTGCTCGATTTCTTTACGAGAGATTACTTCGAGGACCTCTGCTAGCCAATCGTACAGTCGTGAGTCAAAGCAAATATTATCAAGTATACAATCATGTGATGATTAACTTGTTCTAGGTTCTGGTGACGCATCATGTTGAATTGGTGTTACCAGCCGCCCACTACTTTGTACAAATGCAAGATGGACGTATCGATTTCCAAGGAACCGTCCAAGATCTCCAAGAGCAAGGGATTCTGGAAGATGTCACAGTCGAATTGGTTTCAGAGGATTTGAATCCGCCACCTTTTGATGACGATGATGACATGACAGAGTCTGTTGAGTCGGAGCCTCGCAAAACAAAACAACCTGAAGCTATCCCTGGACCTGACTTGAAGTGGATTGCTGAACAGCAAGAGAAAGAAAAGAACCGCAAGAAACCAAAACATCTAATAGCAGCGGAGAGCCGGGAGACTGGGAGTGTCAAGTGGCATATCTACGACACTTATTTAAAAGCCTCGTGAGTACAGTATTCTGGTTGGCCATTTGGTTGAGCTAAAGTCATCAATAGCGGCTACTTTACTTGGGTCATTATCCTTGCTCTGATTGCTGTTGCGCAATTGTTTGGTTTCTTCGAGAAGGTAGGATCATCACTTTCGGTGCAATCATAGTTAATATTTTTTTTTTCCTGTTCCAGTATTGGATTAAAGTATGGGGAGAAGTGAGTTGTTTCATACCACAGGAATTGGACCTTACTATTTGATAGGCATATAACGATGTTGACACAGCTGTGAAAGCTTCTAGAATCTGGCAATATCCTCGATACAGTAGTATCCATTCACAAGCGAGTGATGTTTTTGCTCAGCACGACCATATTCAGCTTGCATTCGTGAATACTCCTCTGAGTGCGACTTCTGCTGCCCTACCTCCAGCAAATCGGCATCCCTTGTTTTACGTCATGATATATGCGGTCATAGGCTTTGGCGGAGTATTCATTACATCTATCAATACTATAGTGCAGTACGGTGGGGCAGTACGTGCTTCAAGGGACCTTTTCCAGCGGTTGTTGAACAGCCTGGTCTATGCCACAATGCGCTGGCATGATATTACCCCAACTGGTATGTGGAATAACTGTGTGATACATATGTCTAACGTTCAGATAGGGCGTATACTCAACCGGCTATCACGGGATATGGAGGTTTTGGACTCCTCTTTATCAAATTCTCTCAGGGCCGTTATATTCCGACTAGCGACCTTTATCGCTTCTATATTCACCGTTGCATACGTCTTCCCCGAGTTCTTAATCCCAGCAGCCATCATATCATATTTCTATTACGCGATTTCTCAAGGTTATATTAGTGCAGGTCGGGATATGAGAAGAATGCAAAGTACTACCCGCAGTCCTATCTTTGCAAGTTTTGCGGAAACACTTGAAGGGATAGTAACAGTCAGAGCATTCGGGTCAGAGAGGAGATTCTTAGAAGTCCTGATGAAACGAATCGACCTTGCAACAAAGGCAAGTGGATCTTTACCCTGAGGAAACTCTGATTAATGGTTCTTTAGATGTGGTATGGATGGTGGAGTGTGTATTTCCTTACCCTTTATATGCTAGTTCTCACAGATTTAAAAGTGATGAACCGCTGGCTATTGTTAAGGTTTGACGCGTTGGGTGCACTTAGTATCTTTATCATCACACTCTTCGCACTCTCTGGATACATTTCAGCAGGATGGGCCGGTATAACCATTACAAGTGCTATGCAGTTCACCATTTCAGTCTACTGGACCTGTAGACTCGCCACCCAACTGGAATTAGATCTCAAGTGCGTAGATATGATTTTACTTAGGATCGACTAATTTCCTCCGTAGCTCCGTGGAACGTATCGTAGAATATTTGGATCTTCCACAGGAGCCTCCCGCTGTTCTAGAGGGAAAAGCTGTTCCAGCATACTGGCCTTCAACGACATCCCATAGTGATCAGGGACCAAATGAGAGTGGGAATAGATATGGCCAACCACTCGCAAAGACGTTTATCAATGTAGAAGATCTAGTGATCCGATACTCACCAGAACTGCCACCCGTTTTGCATGGTGTTTCCTTCACAGTGCAAGCAGGTGAAAAAATTGGTCTTTTGGGACGTACAGGCAGCGGTAAATCTACGCTAGGTTAGTTTATAATCTTAGAAATTGACCAGGAGCTAACTCGATTAGCCATGTCACTTTTGAGGTTTGTTGACCCGTCGAGCGGTCGCATCATGATCGACGGAATTGATATCACTTCTATTGGTTTACGAGACTTGCGCTCGAGAATTGTGCGTGGACGTGCTATTAGATATTAGAAGAGGGCTAACATATACTAGACCATTATACCCCAGGACTCCATCCTTTTCTCAGGGACCCTACGGTAACGCAGTCCAACCTTTCCATTGGCTATGAAGCATGCTGATTGTTCGCTAGGGATAATCTCGATCCTTTTGAAGAGCATACAGATTCTGAATGTCTTGACGCCCTTTACCGTGTCCATCTTTTGACCCCTGGTGCTCGTGCAAGAGCTCCAACCGTAGTGATTGGAGATCGGCCTCCTTCAAGAGTATCACACTCTTCGACCAATATTCTCGACCGCCCTCTTACGCCAGAGCCAGATACGCTAGGCGGAGACTTAAACAGGCATTCTAATCGTTTACAACCCTCGGATACCATGTTGGCTCCGCGCGCCATCCACACTGGCGGTTCAATCAGTCCAATCCAACCTTCTGATACACTCCTCTTCGAATTCGGTATTCCACGTCAAGCCACAGTAGAAGCAGATGTAGTGGGATTCCGATTTGGTGGAGGTAATTTTGACTCCGAAATTGGCTCTCCGACGGGGACCCAAACTCCTGCACGACAGTCTCATGGGTTACTAAGAGGTATAAGGCAGATTCATGGGGGTCTATCAGCAGGTGGGGAAACCCCTGCAGATGCTTTAAATGGAGATACGCAACAGTCTGATGGAACAGGCCGTACATCAGCGACCGAGGGTACTATCAGAGCCCAAGGCCAACGATACTCCAGAGCGCAAACAGGAACAACAAGTCGTTCAGACAACGTTGAAACATCGCTACTCACATTGGACACTCGTGTTGCTAGCGGAGGTGCTAATTTCTCGAGTGGCCAGAGACAATTGATATCATTAGCTCGGGCCCTTCTTCGTCATAATACGATAGTTATTTTGGACGAGGCTACCTCTAGGTATTTACTATGCCACACCTGATTGCAAATCTCGTTGACATTCGTATTCACAGCATCGACTTTGACACTGACGCTAAAATTCAAGCCACAGTCCGCGAAGAGTTCAGGTCATCCTGCTTGATCACCATTGCCCATCGCATACGCACAGTAATTGATTATGATAGACTCGTAAGTTCACTCGCGACGGGTCTCAGCGGTCTTCTGATCTATTCTTTCTACGCAGATTGTTCTGGATAAAGGGCGTATAGCCGAGATTGATACTCCTTGGAACCTAATTCAAAAGGAAGGGGGCATCTTTAGAGACATGTGCTTGAAGAGTGGTCAAATGCGAGAGTTGGAAACCATGGCGAGAGCAAAAAATACGACGAAGGGTTCAAGATGAAAGTCTTCCACTCATTCTCGATGAACCAATATCAATACATTCGGCTTGGAACCAGTATCTCGATATGTTACATTCTGTTTTATATTTGTTGCATTTTTAGATGTGCATGCATCATCCATCCAGGTGCATTCTTGTTTGTCAACTAGTATAGTCTATGCCGCCTTCTAGTCTTCCATCTTTCCAGTCAATTGAGGGCTTCATGATCTTTCAGAATTATCCGTGTAAGAGTTAGGTGTTTGAGAAATGATCGATAGAGACTGGTCTGTGGCTCGACTATTGATCATATTTTGGAAGTACTGCAGATCCTATGACCGATACCCTTCAATCATTTGACACATTCTATCCCGCAGACTCCGTTGAGTTCTGCCCATCACCACGATACTCGCGACACTTTGTTTGCGGCACGTATAAATTGGAAGAACAGGAAAAGGCCGCCTCTGCTACAAATCTCCATGATGCTGAAATGGAAAGCTCGAACCTAGAGGCAACATCCAAGGCCCAAAATAGAGTTGGGAGGTTGTTTCTTATGTATTCTGAGGATTCCGGACAGTTGTAAGTTATCTTTTGGTCGATATAGATGTAATATTGACTTTCCAATAGCGACGAGGTTTTCCACACGGATCTTCCCGCAATTCTGGATTTGAAATGGTCGCGTCACGATTGTATGGTCATATTTACATGAAATAATACGATATGAACCTCAGACCCTCGCTTTAGCTCCCCGTTTAGCAATCGCAGATGCCGTTGGGTGTCTTCGATTTTACAGACTTTCTGGATCCGATTTGGGTGACACTGTTCGTCTTTTCTTCGAGATTGTATCTTATATCTAACGTAACTTTGGAACCAAAGGTGCCTCGAGCGTCTCTGAAGGAGCTCCAAGTACTACAGTGCACACCCCCCACCAATATCTGTCTCTCTTTAGACTGGTCCGATCGGAAATATCAAAACATGTCAGTTTATTCATCATATTCCGCCGTCACCTAGTTAATGAACAGGTCATAGTCCACCGAAAATCGTCACCTCGATTTCAGATGGTTCTATCTGCATCATAGAGGATACAGATGGTTGCTACCAGGTCACCAATACCTGGCATGCTCATGAACACGAACCATGGATAGCAGCATGGAATTACTGGGATATTTCGATGGTATTTACAGGTTAGGATCATCCAGTATCTCGATGCAAGAATCTCATAGGCGGTATCACGCCATTTTTCTAGGTGGGGATGATTTGGCCTGGAAAGCCTGGGATACTCGAACCGACCTTTCTTCACCATTATTTGTCAATAAGCGCTCGTACGTTCAAACGTAATGATGCCTTATTTGGGGACTAATCAACTCAGCTTTGATGGCGGGGTGACCTCGATTCAGTCCCACCCCTACTATGAACACTATGTGGCGGTCGGAAGGTAAATAAACAATATAATGAACTTGAAGCATGCTAATGGATCTATGAATAGCTATGATGAAAATGTTCGCCTGTTTGATATTCGCAGGCC